CCACCCCTCACTCAAGCATTCAGATTGTAAATTGAAATGAAAAGGTGTAACTATACACTTAAACGATTTCACTTCTCACTTCCTTGGAAGTAAATCTCGCTTAATAAGGGTTCATCAGGAACTAGCTCGACGCTTACTAGAAACATAAATTTATTCAAATACGGACGAGTTGACGCACTATAACAGAAGTTAGTCTACTTTGAATATTTTTTTACCATCAGGTTAATTGCTAAGTGAACATGAATATTAAATTTGTGTTTGTATGTTTTTATCAGCCGTTACTTTCTATTTTGGACTCTTATCTGTCATCGCCTTTTCGAGAACAAAGTGAAACTTCGTGCTCTAAATTTTGGGTGGCATAAGGGTCAGGACTTGAAACATCTCTCCACGGGACGGTGGCCGGTTATAAGGGTTTTCTTTATAGCATTTTACTGACAATAATTTTGGAACTTTGATAACTGACCGCTTACGAAAGGATGGCCGCTTACTAGAGGTTCAACTGTAACCGGGTTGTATACTGTTAGTTTGGTAGCTTTAGCCCACAGAACTACATTGTAAGCTCCTTGTGTTTCTTCTTTCAGTACCAATTTACCTGGGTTAAACGGAAAAGGGAAGATAATTGTCCTGTTCTTGTCTCATTTTCGGAGGCTGGAGAGGAAAATTAAATCAGAGAGTCAAACGTCAAGAGATATCGTCATCAAGAGAAGAGTTTAAAGGTTCAAGGGAATCTGGTTTTGCCAGGGCATTCAAGAAAGCACTTTCATAGGAAACCAATTAAAAGCAATTTTGACATTCGCAGCATTACATGGTGATGACGTCATTCTAACAGAGCCGCTGCACAAACCTTCCCAGGGCCGTCTCCTTTGGGAGGACGTAAAAACGCCCAAGGTGTGCCGAAGTGGTTATTGGAGCAAAAATATTTCACATCTTTTTATGGGAAAAAATATCGCTTCAACCTTGGTCAATAACTTCATTTCTCTAAATAGCTGCTCTTATGCTTTCTTTAGCTGTTTTAATTAGAATAATAGAAAACATCATAATTCAAATTTGGTACAACACATCTTCTGATGCTCTTTTTATTGTGAAAGTTGTGACGTCTTTTTTTCTAATATTCGAAAGAAACATATTCCCCCACGAAAGGGGGCGATGAACAGTAATTTGGTCAATAAATTGCCCATTCTTTCACCGCTGACTAATTGCTAACATTGTTCTGGCCCTCTAGTTTTGTTTCTAACTCAAATAGTTGCCCTTGTGGGTAACAAATCATGTTTGGAATTTAAGACAGAATTGATGTTAAATAAACTTATCAGAATTATTTTTGATATGTTTATATTTGTGAATTTTACACAATTTTCTTCCCATCGTATTACAGTCCCAGTGTTGTGACCGAATAGTTCGAACACGCCTTCCGTGCCTGTCTTGGCAAACACCCGACAACTTCAGTTTACAAACCTTACTGAAAATAAGACACTTGCATTTAAAACGCGGCGATAAATTTCAAGCTCCCGAAGACATGTGCAGTTTTTCCTTGGGGTTTTTAGTAATATCACAAGGACTTTCCTGAGTCAACCTCTTGAAAACTAATTTCGAAGACCTGTATCGTTTTTGGCAGAAAACAATTGCACAAGACAATTAGCACTGGCGAATTGTGAAGTTGATCACGCTGCGACCTGACAGGGCTGGAAACACGGAACGAGTTAAAGATTATTCAACGCAAACTGACCTCAAAATAATTCTACTTTGCCTTAGCTTTAAAAGAACACATCACCGTTAAATATTTGCTGTAAAAAAGAATTTTAAGCCCATATGGACAAAGCAATCTTGCGCATGCGCAGCTCGTTACACTGTCTCTTTAAAATGTAAGAGAAACCTTTTTGGATTGCAGGTTTAAGTTCTTGGGCTCTAGCGCAACCTGGAAGATGACTACAGGAAATGTTTGGTGGGCTTTTTGGCAGGTTTCTAGGGAGTTTTCCTTGTTCAGTCTTGCATTTATGCAAGCCAGTAATCTTATTGACGTACCTGACAGGAACAACACGGTCCTGGCTGCGTTGTTTCACCGCGGAAATGTAAATGATTTGGAGGGAGGGAGGGAGGGATAGGCGACGGGCGAAGGTTGGTGAGTCAAAGACTTGTCAGAGGTAGGAGTGCTACAGAATGGTAAGTTAGCTACCCTGGGCCAGTTAGATCTGGTAGTTCTTTATACCCGAGCGATATTGTTTTAGGATTATTCTGTTGCAGTTTGGACTTGTTGTTTATGACGTGACAGCATAATCGTTATCTGCATGCATGATAGGGGTCATTACGGGTCACTGATAAGCATGTCCACCATGTCGTGTTCTGGCATTTTGAATAAGGGATAATTCCCGACTAGAGGCTAAATTTAAAACGCGTTACCTTGACGTGATATTATAATAACAAGGAAATCTCTTTTACTTCTCTTCGTTGAGATATGAAAACGAACCTCGCTCAATGTCTGTAGA